TTTTTCCTAAATTATATTCTTTATGAAAAGTCAACCTGTTACAAAGACAACCCAGTGTCATTAAAACATCTGTTTACAAATTGGCAAAATTATTCATAGCAATATTTGAAGACTCTAAGCAACAAAACATGCTTAGTCCCTAATCTAACCCTGTACCTCAGAGATTTTGCAGAAGTCACCCTTAATCCTTCTGTTTCTGATAAAAACAACTTTCTGGGCCATGTGTAGCTCCAATAATATTTTGGGGTATTTTTGGCTGAATATGTTGTGCTGGCTCCCATGCTTTCCTTCAGCTCTGACTGCTCACATCGATAGCTATTAAAGATAGCCATCTTTACCAACTCCTTCCTCTTCACTGGCTCTCTCCTATTCCCTACTCATGTATTTACGTTTCTTCTTCTGCCTTTCCCCTCATTCTCGTCTTCCTCCACGTGTTAGCTATGCGGTACTGCTATAGCTACCCTTACCCTCATCAAGACAATTGCTTGGACTCACCAATACATTGCCTGGACTTTGCTTTAGTTTTATGTGGCTGCTGTAACAAATTGCCACCCAAGAAATCCAACCCCGCTCTGGAGTTGCATAGTCTGAAATCAAGATGTTAGGAGGTCCACACTCCCTCTGAAGACTTGACCTCTCTTACCTTTTCCCAGCTTCTGGTGCCTATAGGCTTTATTCCGCTGTGGCAGGGTCATGCCCATCGCTGCCCCCATCATTCCCTCACTTTCTTCTCTCCTATAGTCAAGTGTCCATTTGCCTCCTGCTTCTAGAGACACTTGTTGTTGAGTTTTGTGCCTATCTGAATCTGAATGATCTCATCTAAAGTTCCTTTGCTTAATTTACTTCAAATGTCCTTTCTCCAAATGAGGTCATGTTCACAAGTTCTGGGTAGACATATGGGGAGGAAGGCACCATCTAACCTACTGTGGACCTAAATCCTTGTCAAGGGGGGAGGTCAAGCTAAACATTTATCTCTCATGAAAAATGAATTGCAATTATTTTACAGTAACTGAGAGTCCAAAATTTAGATACTGGGATCGAGCTCCAAACTTTTTTTTTTTTTTTTTTGCCAATGTTCTCAGAGATTATTCTTTGTCTATGAAAATGGTTTCTATTTCTCAGTCCAAACTTGGCTTCTGTCCAACTGAAATGAGTAATGAGGCAAAATTTCATTCTTATCTGTGAGTTTTTACAGCCTTTGGGATATTTCCACAGTGATGGGAAAAATGAACCTCATAATTCCACAGAGAATTTTCTTCTGTCTTTCTCCTCTTTCTCTTCTGCCTCCATGTGTTAGCTGTGTGGTTCTGCTATGGCTGCTGTTATCCTTATCGAGACAGTTTAATCCTCCACAATGAGCTCGTTCCTCATTTTCATGAAATGAGTCAATGCTCATGTATATTTGTAGTTTCTCAGATGGGAAGAAACTTGAAATGGGCCAGAGACGTCTAGGGCTTTTGAGCTAAGGACACTCATTTCTCAGATTAAAAAATATTAGGTTGTGAGAAAAGCCATGACTTATTTTTTCTATGCAAAAAATGCTCATGGCTTTCCTGACAACCTACTATTATTAATAAGTATAATAATAAGGCCTACAGCACATAGAAAGACAAAGACCTATCAGTTGACAATTCTGCCTAATGCTATGAATGGTCTAGGTAAGTTCAGGCTTGATTTGCTATGTTCATTTAAATAAATATTAGAAAAGTCATGTGACTGGGATCAGCAGACACTGGAATGATTATGTTGCTGGACTCCCATATGGTTGACCGTGGTTCAAATCCCAGACCTGAAGGTTTGAAACTCATACTAGGCATGTGTGCATGCATGGCCCAAATCCTGAGAAGAGAATGGAAGAGAAGGGATTGCAGTGTGACTATCCCCCATGGGGGGTGATTTCTTGCTTTCCGTCTCTCTGTCATTCTGGTGAATGTGTGTGCCCTACAGCAACAACAACAAAACCCTCACTCTCTTTCAAAAAAAAAAATCATGAGATTTCCCCAATAGTGCTTAACTGTGGTAGTGAAAATAAGTCATCTTTCTTTACCAAAATCTGAAGTCATTGGTCTCTGGTCATAACCTACAAGGCAGAAGCAGAGTTTGGTCTAACCACCTTTTATGCACGGGTTAGTGTGCATTGTTCCCTGAGTAGCAGGCACTTTATTCCCTCATCTGATGACCAAAGTAATCTTACATAATAATTTGCTTGAAGGAGCCAATGACCTTCTGTCGATTTCTCTCCAGAAGTTCTAAAGAGCGAAGCTTTACATAAGTAGACATTTCCTAAACCTCAGGGAGGAAAACATTACCAGTGAAGGTTTTTATAAAACAGAACTTCCTTTCTGATGTTTTATAATACCATAATTTTTTTTCTTTTTCCCCTGAACTTTTACTATCCTCAGGCAGTAGACAATGTTTCAAAAGAAGTCAGACTTTCATTTTTCTCATGACTCTTGAAGGTTCTAGTAATCGGCAGGCTTAGGTTGGATGTACATTGATGTTTTAGGCCTAATGTGCACAGGTCACTGTGGACTCGTCAACTTCAGTATGTTTTTTTTTTTTTTTTTTTTGTGGGTTTTTGTTATAGGGCGCATGTGCTTGACAGAGAGAGAGAGAGAGACAGAGAGACAGAAAGCGAGAAATCACCCCCCAGGGGGGATGGCCACACCGCCGCAATCCCTTCTTGTCCATTTTCCTCTTGGGATCTTGGGCACGCACACACACACAAGCGACCGGCGTGAGTTTAAGCCACTAGGTCTGAGACTCGAACCATGGTTGGATACATGGGAGTTTAGCAACATAGCCATTACGCTAACTGCTGGTCCCATCAACTTCAGTCTTCAGCTCCCTTCAAATTTATTCACAGTAATACAAAGATGGTCATTTTTTCTCAGGGACAGAGCAATTTAATCACACAGTGACAGCTTCCCTCCCCCCCCTCCCCCGAATAACAAAACTAAAAATAATTGAGCAGTTTCTTGTCCCTCCTTAGGTCTGCCTGACAGTGCTGGGGTATCAGTTTTGATCAAGTGATTTTGATTTGAAGTTTTACTTTAATTTTGTGGTTCATTTAAATCCTCTTCTGAAGTATGTGGATACAGTATATAGACAAACCTCATTTATCATATGCAAGAGAGATACCGGGTAAATTTTTCATATATGTTTATAATAAATTGATATATCTTTTATATGTAAAGTATGTGCCAGGGAACTTCATAAAATTCATAAAAAATCAAAGTACAAGGTTATTTTGGTATAAAAAGTTCTAAATCCATGTTTAGTTTGTTTTCATAATACGCATTTTTCCAAGATGTTTTTGAAGACCACTTATACATACCTTGTACCCCAGAACATTCTTCCTCATCTGATACCCTGAAGAAGTATTCCATAGGCTCAAAGAACATCATCCTAGAACTAGCGTTGAGAGAGAATGGAGAACAATTTCCAGTTGTTATGGTAACAGCCTAGTTTTATGCCTATTTTATACCCAACTCCTAAAGGCTTTGATGGAAATCCCGGGTTCTGTTTTGGCTGCTGTTTCCTGGCCTTGCTGTAGCTTGTCTTGCCTGAGCTCAGATACGTGGTAGGTTCTTTCTTACCAGCTCCACTGTGGAGAGTAAACACAAATACTCTTTGACGAGGAGGTCACACCCCAGTAACAGGTTGTAAGTTGAAGATACATCGAGTCGAAATGTGTTTAATACACCTAACCTAGGGAATGTCACAGCTTAACCTAACCTACCTGAACCATGCTCTGAACATTTACATGAGCTCACAGTTGGACAAAATGATCTAACAAAGCCTAATTTACATTACAGTGTTGAATTTTTCATGTAGTTTATTGAATATTGCACCGAAAATGAAAAATTCAATTGCAAGTATGGTTTCTACCAGTTGTGAGTTGCTTTTGCACCGTCGTGCACTTGAAAAATTGTGTTGAACCACTGCAATTTGTGGACCATTTGTATTTCTTTTCTTTTCTTTTCTGATTTTTTTTTTTTTTTGGTAGAGAGACTTTTTGCTATAGAGTGTGTGTGTTCACCAGAGGGAGACAGAGACAGAAAGCAAGAAATCACCCCCCAGGGGGTATGGTCACATCACAGTTTCTTCTCTTCCATTATCCTCTTAGGATTTTGGGCACACACACACACACACACACACTTGGCATGAGTTTTAAGCCACCAGGTCTGGGACTCAAACTGCATTTGACTACTTGGGAGTCCAATAATTGAGCCATTATGCCATCTGCTGGCCCCATTTATATTTCTATCCATCACTTTAGGGTCTGGGGCTGATCTCGCCTACCCAGAATACACAGGATCTTCAAAAAATTCATGGAAATGCATGTTATGTAAAACTATGCATGAACTTCCTTCCTCCCTTCCCTCCTTTCCCTCCTCTCACTCCTTTCCCTTTCTTACCTTCCTCCTCTTCCTCCCTCCTTCCTTCTTTCCTTGTGTTTTGCACCTAAGCAAACTTGTACTTATATCCATTTTTCCATGAATATTTTGAAGTTTCCTCTTATTTGCGTCAACACTGACCTGAGTTATCTTTCCACCTACTTGATATCATGGGCTTCCTGGGAAAATTTCCAGGTTCCTCAAACAATTGAAACACCGGCAGAGAAAAGCCTGCAAAATCATCCTGCACTAACATAGCCGAGAAGGTTCAATTAGTTCAGCTGCAGCTCAGGGTGCTGCAGAGGGAAGGAGGTGGAGACTGGTGCAGGTCGAGTACTTAGGATGTCAATAAGAGAGTGTGGACTTAATCCTTGGGAAATTGTGGGGCCAGTGTTGTTCTTGAAGTAGGGTACAGCCTGACATTCTTGCCTAATATATAAAAGCACCCCCTCCTTCTAAGCAAGCCACTCCTCTCTAAGAACAATGCAAACGAGGGTCTCGCACAAATATCTCTAATCAGAATCAGACAAATACCAATCAGGTTCTTTGTGCTCTGGCTCGGTAGGGTGCTATTAAGATGATTGAAAACCAGACCTGTGCCTCGTGCCAGCACTGTCCTGCCCTGCCCAGTCACGTGGTGATCGTCTGTTTTTCTCAGCTGCCAGCTCTGTGTGCATGATCATCTGAAGAAAAGCGAGTGTTGGAACTCAGACTTTGGAGTGGCAAAGAATGATCTGTGCAACTCCAGACTGGAGAGACACTGCTGTATGCACAGCAAAAACTGCTGGCAGTAATTAATAATCATTCAATTTGGGTTGTGCTTTTAAAAAAGGCATGAACAGAAAGCTTACCTGCAATGTGCATGAGAATCTGTCATAATTTAAAGGCTATTTTGGCATGCTGTGCTCTACCAAGTAAGGCAGTGTATCCACGGGTTAAAGACTGGCATGAATTCCTAGTCTAAGGAACAGGAAAACGGTAAATGGCCTGGAAAATGCCCTCCGGAAAAGACAGTGCATCATAATCGGTATTTATAAAATATATGTATACTACATGCATAATATATGTATAATGCAAATGTCTGCATACTATACACATTATTAACACACAGAGTATACTGTTTCTACATGTTGCGAGTGTATTACAAACATAAAATATAACATATTACACATAATATCTGTGCGTACATATACCTTTGTGTGTGCATATATACATGTATATGTGTGCATATATGTACATGTGCGTATGTATAAACATTTTTGAACCTCAGTCATGTCATCTATAAATTGAATATTATAGGGCCTCACTCGAAAACTAGCTTTGAGGATTAAATCAGTTATATAAATACTGTGCGTAACACACAGCCTAGCCTAAAAATGGAACACATGCATGGCGAGCTTCTTTTCCCTGGCATTTAAGCATCAAGACCAACTGCATGGGAAGTAAGCATGTGGAAAAATGGGGAATATGTATCAGTTTCAATTGTCAGTAGATAAAAAAAATTAGGGATCCTTTTTATTCTAAGTGAAAGAGTCTAAATTTATTTTCAGTGAACCAAGGCGTCAAAGATAACTGAGTTGTTTTTCAGTCTGTACTTTCCATATACCAGTCACTGGATACCATCTATAAGTCTCCAGAATCTACTTACTTCTTATTCTCAAATCTCCATTTCAGATATCGTTAGGTCCAGATCTAGATGCAACGATCAATCCTTTAAAAAGAAAGAGACTAATGCACTATGTTAAATTTGACTATTTTCAGGTTTGCTTTCATTTTATTTTTGGAATGAAAGTATATGCAAACAAGTAGGATCGTAAGTGAGTTATCAATATTATTATGTCTGTAATGGATTAAGGAAAACATAAAGTTCTATGACACATCTTCCATCAGTGTCTAGGGTCTCTATCTCCTCTGCTTGGTTTTTGTGACTACGTGGCAACGTTATTATAGCCAGAGCAATACTGGGGTGGCTTTCAGCCTCAGTTGTAAGAAACTAGCAGTATCCACTTCTTGTGTCTGAGAACCCTGTCTCCAGGAGCCCTGAACCATCGTCAGGAAGTCCGACTTCTCCAAGACCCCATGTTAGAGTGGTCCCTTGCAGGTGTCCCATTAGACAGCCACAGTGGAGCCAGACTTCCAGCCGTCCCTACAAAGATGCCAGACATATGAGCGAGGACACTTTCAGTCCTCTGTTCAGTCCATCCACCAGCCGGATTCTATCACTGGACCTCAGTCAGTGTCACGTAGATTTAGGGCAGCATTCCTGGCCCAGAAACTGAGAGAGAGAGTGAAATAATAGACATTGTTTTAAGACACTGAGTCTTCTCGGTGAATTTTTACATAGCAATAGACAGTAGGAACAGTGGGTTTATAAGAAAGGAAGAAGAGTATGTGTTGTGATGAGCTCAGCAGATATGCTATGATTGTCAGTAAACTGGAATGGATGATGAGGCTTCAGAAAAAACTATAATATTTTTAGCAATTAGGATAATTTTATAACCGTTGATCATTTAAAAAAAAACTGAACATTTCATGTTCCATGCTGACTTAAAATCTGGATCTTCTCATTTCGGAGGAGATTGTTAGGAGTTTCTGATTCAGACCTTTGAAATTCACTTGCAATGCTGTGAACATGGTGGAAAACATAAATTTTACTTAACTTGTAAAATATTTCTGGAATGATAATTATAAAAAGTTCAGTGTAATACTGTTTTTGGTAACAGTATGGTTCAGAAGGGAGTGACTGGGACCAGTAGATGGCATAATGGTTATGTTCCTGGACTCCCACGTAATCAACAGCGATTCAAGTCCTAGACCCAGTAGCTTAAAACTCATGCCAGATGTGTGTGTGTGCATGCCCAAAATCCTGAGAGGAGAATGGAGGAGAAGGGACTGCGGTGTGGCCATCACTCTTGGGGGGTGATTTCTCACTTTTTGTCTCTCTGGCAAGTGCACATGCCCTATAGCAATAATCTCTTCAAAAAAAAGAAAGAAAGAAAGAAAGAAACTGGCATTTACAATCTGCTCCCGTTTAGAAAGGGAAAAGAGTAATCCCTGGGGGTTGGATGGGCCTTTGCATTGTTCTCTGTAAAAGGCAAAGAAACAGTGAGTGAATCATTTCTTCCCCATCCAGGGCAGGGGCCACGTGCATGCGCGTACATATATATTCTCAAATCTAGAATGAGAAGACCCATATCTTGCCCCACTTTTAGCTTAACAATGAAGCTATTTTATTTCTACCTCCAGAGCTTTTTGAATGTACAAAGCCCCTTGTTTAGCAAATTGTTGTTGATGTAAAATTTGCTTGTTTATTTCTCTCCTGAGAGAGAAAGACACTCCCAACAGAGTCTGCACACTGCTATTCACCCCAAGCTTCAGCCAGTCTGGGTCACAGGCACATGTGTGGGTGCCCCGCATGCAAGGGGAGAGAACTCGGGGTGCAAACTTGGGACCTTCCCGTGCCATTAGCATTGCAGGGTACTGCATTAGTACTGCCCACTGCATCTGGCTGTGGTTGGCACTTCGGTGAGTTACTGGTAGGGAGGTCAGTATCTGACACTCAAATACTCTGCAGACAATGAAGGGACCTAAGGTGGCTTACAGAGAACAACGGGCAAAACTAAATGCCCTTTAACTCTGGGCTAATACCAACCAGAATATGCAGTGCCACTTAATTACGACCAGGATGCCATTTTGCTCTTTATTATGAATATCTCTCCACACTCCTTTTAGCTTCCCAAGGTTTAGCTGCTTGTATTTGGGTGAATAACAGCAATGATAAAGAAAACTGGATTTGGAGTCTTAGTTCTAGTTATTGGGAGAATGTAGTCCCCAGGACATATGCTGAGACAGTAGGGCTGATCTGTTTACAGATGGAGCTCTCGCACCAAAACCACAGAAGGATTGTGAATTTGATTTCACATCTAGCAAAGTCTCATTTCCAATCCAGCTGTCTGAGGATCCTGTTCTGAAACATATTTAGAAGAGGGCCAGTGAAGACTGAGTAATAAAATGATCCTAGCAAAGTCCATGTAAGAAAATGCATAACCACCTCAAGTACTAAGACTAGTGTAATTATCAAGTCAAATTCCTCAGTAACTCCAGACCAAAGTTTCCATTGCTGCTCGAAGAAGAAATACACTGAGCAAAATGATGACAGTTCTGTTGGATTGTCGGGAAAGTCATGATGAATTTTTCTGTTTCTATGCAAAAGCGTGTCATGACTTTTCCAACAACCCAATACTTTAGGGGCGGGTAAATATCAACGTGTCACAAGGAGACAAAGTTTCCCAGAAACTTTGCTAATATTCAGGCATGAGTAAGCTTCAGAAAAATGGCAATAATATCAGGAACGTGCCTGGGAATTAGCAGGTATTAGAGATTGGTGAGCATTAAGGATATAGGTTTACCTATAAACAACTGCACAGTTAAAAAGTCCCTACAGTGTAACGTATCCATAGTATTAAAATTGCCAGGAAAAGGAGAAGGGCCTCGATGCTCACGAAGGTGTGAATTTCCTGGGACCAATTCTGAGACAAAATTGACTCCCATGGACTGATACTCATATTTGCTCACAGCAGACTATTAGTTCTCAAAATATTATGAAAGCAAATATGTCAAACACTAGAGACAATTCTCTGATCACTGAAACAATATTCATCTTAGGAAAGGTATGATAGAACAGGAATTAATTTGGCTAATTCCATGTGTAAAACAAAGATGAGAAGTCTGAGTGATGGATCACTTGGTGCCTAATGCGCATCACAGTCGTCGCATCACGGACTGCTCCCAGCGGTGGTTCTCAACCCAGGCAGCACGTGCTGGTTTACCCCTTCCCATTCTTATTCAAGGTATCTGGGTGTTCTCTGGACATCCACATTTTTTAGAGCTTCCCCAGTGATTCTGTTGTGCTATTAACCCATGTACCATTAACCACTGGGATAGGGCATTGTTTCTTAATTTGCCTACTCATTAAGATAACCTGAGGACCTTTTTTTAAAATGTGTTTTGGAGAGATTTTTGCTATAGGGCGTGTGTTGCTCACTGGAGATTGCAATCCCTTCTCCTTCATTCTCCTTTTGGAATTTTGGAAACGCACGCACACACCCAGCATGAGTTTTAAGCCACTGAGTTTGGGACTCAAACCACACTTGACTACATGGGAGTCCAACCTAACCATTACACCATCTGCTGAGAACTTTTTAAGTTTTCTTTCTTCCATGAGCAAGTGAGAGAGAAAAAGACAGGATTTTCTCCACACCCCGTTGGAGTCTTTATTCTACAATCCATTCCTAGCTTTCACTGAGCCTCAGATCATGGGCAAGTTTGGGGCTGGTGTGCTCAAGAAGGTCTTTGGATTTGAACCAGAAACCTGGCCATGTGAGAATGCCTTGCAGTATATCACATTTTTCAGCGCATCGCCATGTGATCCCACCAGAGAACTTTCTGAAAATCCTGATGGGCTCTATTTCAGATAAATTAAATCAGAACGAGGCATTTCTGGACATAGGAATTTTTAAAAGACTAGGTCATCTTTGTTTGCAAAATAAAGGTAGGGAATTACTGACAGAGCATTAGCTTCTTCATAAAGTAAGTTAAACACATTTTGGGAGCTTTCTAATGCAAAGTCCATGTAGTAAATTCCTACCTTTAAGAAAAGATTTTTGGGGCTGGCAGGTGGTATTATGGTGAAGAGCGCTGGATTCCAACATGGCTGACTGTGGTTTGGGTCCTGGACCTGGGGGCTTGCTTTCTCACTTTCCCTTTCCCTCTCTCTGGCCAAATTAAAAAATAATAATAATGAATGGAACTAAGTAAGTAATTATTTTAAAAAAAGTTTTTTCTCGGTTTCCAAGAATCTACTACACACGTGTTTGTGCTTGCACGCACACACACACACACACCTGTAATGTGAATCGGATGGTGGAGGATAGAAAAGAAAAAAACAAAGCCTTGACTTCAAGAACTGATGAATGGGTTGCATCCCACTCAGCATTTCCATAAGATTCCCAGCCTCAGAAAGACACTGGCACTCCTTTTCCTCATTAGTAAAACTGGGGCATGGTTCTCATCTCAGGTTCTGTGAGTAGGAAATCTCTCCTCTAGGAGATGCTGTCATTCAACCATTCAGATCCTAATGTGCTTGAAAAATGCTGATGGGCTAGATATATTTTTTCTTTCCAAAGGAGTTGGTTATGAAACATCTAAAAATGAAGCCTGAAACAAAAGAGAGAGAGTTAACTTATAATGGCTCTGTTGCAGCATTTCGTGCAAATCTTGGCAGATTGGCAATCCCATTTGCAAATCTCAAAATTTGAAAGTCAGCATTTCTTAAGTTGTGGAATCATTATATTCAGAGATTGTGTCACTGTGTTTGCAAATGCCAAGTAGGTCTTGAACAAATGAAAAATTGGATAGAAGACCCTGTATTGATAGTCTACGTAGCAAACACATCACTAGGTGTTTTTAAAACCTTTTAATCATCTAATACTGATAACACTTCTGTGATTTGAAAATTGATTGTTTTGTTAGGAGTTAAATATTGGCAAACTTGTATTTGATAGATAAAGAGTCTCAGGAAAAATGATATTTGAGAGTTTGCAGTAGGATAGTAGAACTACATCTCTTTACTTTTCCCCCTTATTTATGATAGAGTGTATGTGCATTCTGAGAGTGAGTGAGTGAGTGGGTAAAAAAGAGAAAGAGAAAGAA